GAGATGTGGTGAGATAACTGGAGTAGTAGAGGCGTGTGCAAACCACAAAGGCGATTCTAAGGGGTAGGCACAGCATTGGGTACAGAGCTTAGGCTCTGGGAAGAGGTGCATGTCATCCCTACATATATTAATACAACCTAAGAATTGCTGGTCCTAGCCTAACTTTCCTGACCCAGATTTTCTTCATCTACAAAATGAAGATGGTAATGAGATCTACCTCAGGGTTTTATTATGAGAATTAAATGAGATAAGGCATAAAAAAGGATATAATGCTTAGTGTTTAGCACAGCCTAAGTGTTAGCTGTGCTGTTATTATTGGAATGAAATGATGCTCTCTCTATGCTTTGAGAAAAGTAGGTGGCAACATTGTAGGGCTTCAGGAGTGGATGAGATTTGAAGTCTTGAAGCCTCACTCTTCAGTTTGCTTTTTTTTTTTTCACACAGCAGGTTCGTGGAGATTTTATGTGCCCTTCAATGATTCACACTCAGCTCATATACTTCCCATATGATTGGCTACTCTATTCGTATGAGTCATTCTTTTGCTTAATATCATTTATAAAATCCATATTTTAGCTTGAGTTGAAAAATTCTCTTTTTCTCCTTACTGTCATCCCATAGTTGAATCATAGACATCGAGGGTTGAATGCTCATATTTTGTGGATTATCTTTAGCTTAAAGATCTGTTTTGGTGGAAAGTTCATGTAAAAAATTTTGCATTTGAATATTTTCTAGTGTGGAAATATTATTTTAAAGCTGCTTCATTTTAATTTAAAGCTTTTGGAAGCATATTCATCCTGTGCTCACTGTTCTTCCCTATTTTCTCCTCCTATTCCTTTCAAAACTCCAATTTACAAGGCTAGCCCAGGAGGACTTTATGTTTGCCCATCTTAACACATATAACCACTTTTAGCACATACTGTGTTCCACAACGTATGATCAGAGCTTTATACATAAAATGTGTGTGAATGTGTATGTGTTTGCTTGTCTGCTCTTACTTACCATTAAGGTAATTGTGATCTGTGAAGTTATGTGATATTGTATAATTCCACAGGTAGTATGAGGAAGATTCAAGATTCAAAATGTAAATCCTGTTTCATCCTAATCAAAAGCCTGTGCCAATAATCCAACTTGTGTAGATGTGCCAAAAATAACAAGGATGAGATTATGGGATTATGGGGAAAATGTTAAAATGAAGCTCAAATCTTGCTAATTCATTTAGGTCCCTTTGTAGTTTAAAGAAGGGTCATTTCATTCTCTGGTTATTTGTTTTTCTTTTTTTTTCTTTCTGCATATTATGGGGTTACAAATGTTTAGGTTGTGTATATTGCCTTTGCCCCGCTCTCCCTAAGTCAGAGCTTCAAGTGTGTCCATCCCCCAGATGGTGCGCATCGCACTCATTATGTATGTATATACCCTTCCCCTCCTCTCCACTCCCATCTGTCTGACACCTGATGAATGTTATTTCCTACATGTGCACTTAGGTGTTGATCAGTTAAAACCAATTTGATGGTGAGTACATGTGGTGCTTATTTTTCCACTCTTGGGATACTTCACTTAGTAGAATGGATTCCAGCTCTATCCAGGATAATACAGAGGTGCTATATCACCATTGTTTATTGTAGCTGCATAGTACTCCATGGTATACATATATCACAGTTTATTAATCCACTCATGTATTGATGCACACTTGGGTTGTTTCCACATCTTTGCAATTGTGAATTGTGCTGCTATAAACATTCTAGTGCAGATGTCTTTTTTATAGAATGTCCCATGAACAGAAACTTTTCAAAAGAAGACAGAATAATGGCCAACAAACATATGAAAAAATGCTCAACATCTCTAATCATCAGGGAAATGCAAATCAAAACCACAATGAGATACCACTTATCACCAGTGAGAATGCCCTTAATTAAAAAGTCCCAAAACGGTAGATGTTGGTGTGGATGTGGAGAGATAGGAACACTCATACACTGCTGGTGGGACTGCAAACTAGAACAACCTCTGTGGAAAGCAATATAGAGATACCTCAAAGAGATACAAGTAGATCTACCATTTTATCCAGCAATCCAATTACTGGGCATCTACCCAAAAGAACAAAAGACATTCTATAAAAAAGACATCTCTGGTTATTTTTATTTTTGTAATTTCCAATGAGTCGCCAAGAGATAGTGAAAAAATTGAAATTATCACCTGATCAAGCAGAGCATCGCCCATACTGTTTTTTTTGGCTACTATTTTTAGAGAGCAGTGTGATGATGTTTTGTAAATATTGCTAAACTCTCTACTGTTGAAATTTTAATATATCCCATCTTCACTTCAGTGTTTTAGAAAAATGTTCAAAACTTCTATTTATGTGCTAAGATAAATTATAGTAAGTGTAACTGCCTTGCTATTTTTGCACGAATTACACTTTTCGTTAAAAGTGTACATGGAACATGGAAGCTTACCTTGCCTCTTGAAAACAAGTGACAGTCAATCCTGAATAGTGTGTTTGAAATCAGAAATTCCTCCATGGAATAATGCCAAAATGTTGTTGGAGAAGCTCTCCTGCAGGCAGTGGTCAAAAGATTCTGAGAACTCTAAGGCAGGGAAAGATGGAGGAAAAGACACTAATGCACATTTAGGTCATGTATCTGCCATGTCTTCTTTCTGTGTCCTTGGAGGAGTCACTTACCACCTTCTTATTTGTGAAATAAAAATTATAAAATTATCTCTCCCACATAATTCATGGAATTATGCTCGTACATAGCAAATAAAGGAAGGTCTACAAAACAACTTGCTAAGAGGTTATTATTTTAAAGTCACTCAATATAGTTTCAGTCTTGGAGTGTTTTCCTAACCATGGTTGCAGACTCATAGCAAATCTGTAGGTCAGAAGGACTTTTATACTAAAAAATATTAACACCCAGATGAATAAATGATGATGACCAAAGAGGCCCAGCACACAGTTTGGTCCCTCTAAAATAAAGTCACCAGGAGTCACATTGGATTGCAGAAGCTAATTTCAGAGGCTAATGCTAATGAACCATCAGGGAATTATGGAAACACAGTTCTCTGGGAATGTCCCCTATGAGGGCATCTACAACTTTTCAACCCACTTTTCTAGAGAAAAAGCAATTTAACTACCTGTGGGGACTAAACTGGATATTTTGGGTGTGCTACTTGTTTATGTTATTACTTTTTGTGTTTTAAAATTTTTAATGAATATACAGTTTACAAGCAGTTATATGTACACTTTTTAGTGTATAGCTCTAGAAATTTGGTCAAATATATAGTTATATAACCATTACCATGACCATCCGTAATAAATTTCCTCAAACTTTTTTGTTGTCAGCCCCTTCTCCTACCTACTGTCCCTGGCAAACACTAAACTCTTTTTTTTCCACATAATTATATCTTTTCAGGAATGTCCTTAACTAGAATCCTAGAATATATAGTCTTTGGTTCTGGCACCTTCACTTAGTATAATCTGTTTGATGCCCATTTATATTGTTACTTGTATCAGTACTGGTATCTTCTGTTTTTATTGACAAACTATATTGGATAGGTGTACATATTTATGGGGTACAAAGTGGTGTTATAAAGTTTGAATACAACGTGTAACGGTTAAGTAAAGCTAATTGATATATTCATCATCTCAACTATTCAACATTTTTTGTGATAAGATCATTTTAAATTTAGACTTTCAATTTTAAATGTACAGTACAAAAATATTAGCTAATTCACCCTGATACACACACACACACACACACACACACACACACACACACACACTACATTAGCTATGCATTCATCCCTTAATGGACACTTAGGTTGAGTCCATTACTTGACTATTGTGCACAGTGCTGCAATGAACATGGAGTGCAGAAATCTGTCTGGCAACTATGTCAGAGATTCCAAATCTTTGGAGTAAATACTCAGAGGTGGGATTGCTGGGTCATATGGGTAATTCTATTTTTAGTTTTTTGAGAAACCTCCATACTGTTTTCTGTAATGATTGTACTAATTTACAGTACAATCAATGCTTCCTACCAACAGTGTACAGGGTTTCTTTTTTTCCAATCCTTGCCAGCATTTATCTTTTATGGTTTTTTTTTTGATAGTATTGATTCTAACAGGTATGAAGTGACATCTCATTGTGTTTTAATTTGCATCTCTCTAATGATTCATAATGTTGAACATTTTTTTCATTTTTTGTTAGCCATTGTATGTCTTCTTTTGAGAAATGCTATTCAGGTCTCTTACCCATTTCTTTTTTTTTGTTTCAGAATTTTATAAGGTTACATACGTTTTAGTTACATAATTTGCTTTTGTACAGTTTGAGTGGGAATTATAAGTATGCCCTTCAGTCAATTAGTGTGCATTGTACCTGATAGGTGTGAATTTATCCATCCCCTCTCCTCCCCACTTTATTTCTCTTGAATTTTACTTCCACATGTGCACATAAGTATTGATCAATTAGTTTCAATTTAGAATTGAATACATGTGGTGTTTGTTTTTACATTCTTGCAATACTTCCCTTAGAAGAATGGTCTCTAGTTCTACCCAAGTTAATACAAGAGGATTAGTTCATCATTAATTTTTATGGCTGAGTAGTGCTCCTTGGTATACACATACCACCTTTTATTACTCCACTCCTGTATCGATGGGCACCTGGGTTGTTTCCACATCTTTGGGCTTATTTATACCCCTGTTTTACATGTGTGTTTCTACTGGTATGTGGTAGAGGAAGTGCATGTAGAATGAGTGAAGGAATCAAACATCCTCAATAAGGTTTTTGACAAGTAAGACCCAAGAAATCTTACAATTCACGTTAGCCATCTCATTTAGGTATTCTATGTCTAGATGTGATATTTTATTTTTCCAAGACAACATGCTTTTGAAGAGGTAAGAGTATCATTTTAGGAACTTAACTTCCATGTGGGCCTTAAAATGTGATTCAGGCCATGCAGAATATCTCAGCAGAACAAAACTAGGTTATTATGGTTACTACATTAAATTTACAAACCTAGAGACAACTTTGCCGTCCCAACAAGTTTCTTGAATGCACTCTTCACCTCCTTGTTTCTCAGGCTGTAAATCACAGGGTTTAGCATGGGGATGACCATAGTATAAAACACAGATGCCATCTTGTCTATGTCCATGGAATGACTGGAGCTGGGCTGTAAGTACATGAAGATAATAGTCCCGTAGAAGATGGAAACTGCAGTGAGGTGAGAAGCACAAGTGGACAAAGCCTTTTGGTGTCCTGCAGCTGAGTGCATCTTTTGGATGGTGACAAATATGAATAGGTAGGATATCAAGATAACTAGGAGGGCAAAAGAAACATTGACGCTGGCTACGTAAACAAGAACCAGCTCATTCACACGTCTATCAGAGCAAGACAGGGCCATGACTGCCGGAATATCACAGAAAAAGTGATGGACCACATTAGACTTACAGAAAGAGAGACTGAACGTGTTCCCCATGTGGATGGAGGCATTCAGGAAACCACAGACATAGCAGCCTATAGCCAGGCATGCACACACACTTGTTGTCATGGTGGTGGTGTAATGTAGGGGTTTACACACAGCTGCGTAGCGGTCATAGGCCATTGAGGCCAAGAGGAAATTTTCCATAGTAGCAAAGGCTGCAAAAAAGAACATCTGAGCAGCACAAGCACTGTAGGAGATGACCTTGTGTTCCATAAGGAGCCCAGCTATGACTGTGGGAGTGACAGCTGAAGAATAACAAAAGTCCACCAGAGACAGGTTACCAAGGAAAAAGTACATGGGAGTGTGGAGATGAGAGTCCCAGAGAGCCAAAATAACCACGCCCAGGTTTCCGGCCACATTGATGAAGTAGATGAGAGTGAACATGATCAAGAGGGGGACCTGTAGTTCTGGGGCATTGGTTAGTCCTAGGAGGATGAACTGTGTCACTTCTGTACTGTTCTCCATCAGTGTTATTCGGGCATTAGATGACATCCTGTAGCAACAAGAATTAAAGGACGAAGGGCTGATAACCAGAATCTATCTAGAACTCAAAAAAATCAACAAGAAAAAATCAAACAACCCCATCAACAAATGGGCAAGCGACATGAACAGAAACTTTTCAAAAGAAGACAGAATAATGGCCA